CTCCATTTGGCACTATGCATAAGGACACTACAGATACAACTGATACAACATTCGTAAGAGTGCCTTTGGGTGACCAAGTATGTTTTAATCTTCCTAGAGTTATATTTTCCTAAATTGGCACATTAACAAGTCAAGGTGGCTGAAAACTTATGTGCAACAGTATGCTTAATAAGATAGTTTTATCGTTTTTTCAATTAATTTTTATATAGGCCCTTTCTTTGAGTAATAATAGCCACTGGAAGGCCATGTTGGCTTTATTTTCGCGTGACTGAAGAAAAACCTGAAGCTGAGTCAGGTTCCATAATCCAAGCAATCTTGGTAGAGCAATGTCTAGTATACAGTGTATCTGATTGCTATCACAAACCATTACTGTGAACTTGGATTTTTCTTTTCTAAGCAATATTGAAAAGTGATTGAATATATGGGCATCTTTACTTTGTTCTTTTGTTAAAATGAAACTGTGGATACAGCACTCACATCTTAATCTTAACAGAAAACTACTCCTCCTATTTTACCAAGATACGGCATACATCAGCTAGAAATTGTCCTTCCTTTCAGCTACGAACTGTTGAAAATTTTAGTCTATTTTACCACCTTTTCTCTGTCATTGCATGATCAGTATTCAGCCCACTACGGTCTAATTTTTGCCTATGCCATATTACTGATACTGCTTTGAAAAAGATATAAAGATCCTATATGCACTTTAAGGTTCAGTTAACTTGAAATTTGTGCATTATTTATAGACATTGGTGACTGTACCTTCTATCAATCAAAAATGTTCAAGACCATATAGTCAAGTGGAAAATATGCATAAGAAGTAGATAATTACAATATATGTGAGTACTGGTATGACTTTGGTAATCAGAAGGATATGGTAGAAATTGCTAGCTGCCACTCAATATCCATGTTTTCTTTACAGAAACAAAACTGATTTAATTGGGGAAAGCAATGTGCCCAGATTAAAACACACACAAATTTTTACATTTTGTAGCATCCCTTACAATTAAGTATATCCATATAATTAAGTTCTGGACAAAAATATGTACAAAAAAACATTTGGCTTAAAAAAAAGGGCTTAAAAAGAGGTAAGAAATGTTGGTTTCTGTTTTTCTGTTTGAAATATAAAAGCCATAGCTACAGTGGGAGAAGCCATATTTTGACTTTGACAGAAATGAAAATCAGAAGTCAAAGATGACAAAGCAGAAAGACAAAAGTTCCTGATTCCCTCTTGGCTTTGTGAGGCTGCCATAATAGTCCTGGGTTGCCTGTTCTCAGAACTGTTTTTTTTTTTTTTTTAGTGGAGAGAGTAAATTCCCAATTTGTTTAAACTGCCACAACCAAGTCTCTGTATCAAAGGCTCATTAGAATCACTTATGTGTAGAAAAAATTTTTTGGATCTCTGTCTCAGTTATACTATCTCCTTTAACATAATTTCACTAGATGGTCCCATCTATTTCTCCATCATACTTCTCTCCTGAATTCCATAGCCACTTACCCATTCTCCTAGACCTTTCTCTTTGGATGCCCCTTATTCACTTAAATTTAACAAGCAAAACCTGAATGAATTGCCTTACCCTCCTAATCTCCTCTTTCCTCTACATGTACCTTTCAGTTAATGATGCAACTGTTGAGTAAGTTACCAAATCTCAAAATTTTGGAATTAAATCAAGTTTTTCTTCTTCAATCTTAATATTCAATGGATCATTGACTCTAATACCTTTTACCTCAGGATTTTTTCTTGCATGGGTACACTGCTCTCCATTCTCACTAATGTTGCCTTAATCTAGGTTCTCACTGTTATTCTCTTAGACAAAAAAATATATATATTCCTACACAGGTCTCTATCTTCCAATTCCTTTCTCATCTTGTCAAGCTATCACCATTTTGTCAAAAACAGTTAAATTACAAATATATGGATCTATTTATGCCTGTCTCCAACTTAAATTTTTTCAATTACTTTCAGTTGCCTGCAGGGTCAGATTAAAATGTTATAAATGGTTCTCTTGAAACAGCTCTAATTTTGTTTTCAAGTTCTCTTCTAATCCCCATCATCCCAATACAAACTCCAACAGCACCAAATATAATTGTTTACAGTCACATTAGACAGTTTGCTATTTCCATAAAATTTCTTATTTTTTATTTCATTTGTGCCATGTACCTTAAATTATTTTCCTCTCCTTCCTCCACAAATATACAATTGATTTTACATATTAATCAATGTACAGTTAGTCAAGCCATTTATGGGGCTTTCTCTTGCCCACTTGTCTCATCAATGGAATTGTTTCCTCACCTCTTACTATGTTCTTTTGGGCGTATACTACTATTATATAATTTCTTATATTCTTTTGGAGTCATTTTGTATATTTAAGCATATTATATGCACAAATTTGAGTAGCTTGAAGGAGGCTCATCTAGTCATGTTTTCGTTCCCCTCATGTTCTACAAAGCCTGGTACAGGAAAGATGCTCAATTCATAGTTGGGGTTGTTGACTAACCACACTTCGGTTTCCTTCTAAGTAAAATATAGAGTTTCAGGATGTGTTTACAGTGTTTATATATAGATAGATATCTATTTATCTATCTATATATATATAATATTCATTTATATATACAAATAAAATGATTGGAAAATATTACTTTCTGCTATAAATTCATCTTCTGTACACGAAATCCCAACACCCCAGATCCAGGAAGTGCTCTGCCCCCTCTAGAAATGCATTTCGTTTCTTTTTAACGAAATATATTTACTAAAAGTAATGTTTCACGAACCTGATTCTGAAATACAAAATTTAGTGAACTTTGAAAAACCTGTAGTTTTGAGTCCAAATTTCTGTAATTTTTAATGAGTTTTCCTGCTTTAGAAAATTGCTTGTTACTTTTCAGGAGACTGTATAGAAAAAGTGATGACTTTGATAAGATCTTATCAATTCAAGGGCAAAACAAAGACAAGAACTCAGGGTCATAAAGAGATTAAAGAAAGCACACTTTGTCACACACAAATGAAATGTACTTTAATAGTTTTCCAGGATCTACAATGCAAAACAGCAGTATAGCATCTAAGAAGGGGCATGCTCCTATTTTTAAATTTACTGTTTTCTAATGTTGGTGAAATGATGACAAATAGTTTTGAAATTGCAATGCTGCTCCTCATTTTATAAAATGACTCAGCTTTTAAATTGTAAATCATAAATTCTAAATGACTCATGCCTAATCTTTCTATAAAATGTGTAAAGTTTATGAATTTGAATCATCACACCAAACAGAAGTGAATGCGGACTCAATTCATAGATCTGATGGAAATTATATTTTAGAAGGGCAATTAATAGTAACATATTTCAGCAGTAATGTATAGGCTGAACTTCTATCAAGTTTCTTGAAAGCTTATTTTCATGCAACAAAAAAAAAGTAACAGTTAATTTAAAGAAAAAATTCATGTGGATTTATACTATGTGAATAATGGTGTGTGTGAGAAATTAAGAAACAGAACAGAAGACAGACTTTGGTCTATAAATATCTTTTTACACACAAAGTATTATAATGTTGAGAAAATGTAGACTGAATGTCTAATAATGCAGACTAAAGATAAAATATTTTTAAATGTCTAATATGTCTATATGTGCATGCCTGTATACACATATGTGTTCATACACACACATTTCTGTGTGTATACACTGTGACAATGTAAAATACATTTTTCCTTTGAAAAGTGACAGAATACCAGTACTGTATAGGTTGTGTTGGCTTGTAAGTTTGTTTTTTGCAAAATATCAAGGGAACTCAATTTCTTTACCTCTAATAATAACTATACATAATTTCCAATTTATTCACTTTTGATTTGTGCTCTTCACTTTCATCATAGATTCAAGGTTGTCCTCCTGAACAGAGACGAAATTGGTCTTTGAAGGTAAATCCTAGTTCTGACATTTACTAGTATGACTTTGGGAAGCTACTTAACCTTTCTGTATTTCATTTTTTTCAAGTGTTAAAGTAAGCAAAACAAGGAAATAAACAATCTATGTGGCATTCTATTATGAAGATTAAATGAGATGAAATATACGCAGGAAATAAGGCTTAGTTCCCTAGTCTCTACCCTTGATGGTAATTAATCCTTTCCTTGCTTTTTTGTAACTACGTTCTTTTTAAGAATCTTAGTTTCATTATGGGAAAGTCCAATGTCAGGCTCTCGAGGTCCTAGATGTTACAAATTTATAAGTATGCTGTTGTCATTTTAAAAAATTTGTCTCCATGAATATAAGTTCCTATAACATTCATGATGTTTCACTTTAACTTAAATTTATAATCTTCTTCCATGTCCTTCTCAAAGTCATAGATAACTGAATCCACTATAGATATAAAATATTTTATTACCATACCCACTCTAAAGCGATGATATACTATTATTAAAAATGATCAGAAAAGTTAGACATTATTTTTAACATGGTCATTTTATAGCAGATTGAGACTCAGGGTCAGCAAAGAATTTATGAAAGTTCCTCTAAATCCATAATGTTCTACCATATTCCACTTCTACTATTACATATGGAAATAATAATAGTTTTCAAAACCTAAGATGAATTTCTATGGTATTGAAATAAATAATGGGAAAATGAATATAAATTAATAATTAAACAATTATTTTAATTTGCAATGCCGCATGCATTTACTTAATGAAAATTATAGGGTTCAATTCAGAGTTCCATCTGTACTATTTCTGAAGTCTGAAAATCATGCTCTAAGTTAATATTAATTTTATTTCCAAATGGCTTACAAAACCTGATTCATTCTAAAATCTCAGAAATAAATAAAAACAAGGTTACTTATTCAACATATCTTTAAGGAGTCTGGCAAGATTTCTAACTAGTTTACATGCAATTTTTTACACTTCAATTGAGTTGGAAGCCTATATGGACCTCTAATTTTTGGTGGCATAAGGAAGAGTGTAGCTGCCTGGTTTTAAACATCTCCCACACATGATGATATTAGTCCTGGGCAGTACTCACAGCTGACATGATGAGCTCTCCCCCCAGGCTCTGGATCTCAGCTTTAACTTGACTGCAGATTTTCAGTTGGTGAGAGTAGAATTTAATCTGTTCTAGGTAGGCCAGCAAGTCCTGTTTGCATGATGGATCTGGACACTAAATATGCATAAAAGATAAAAGTGGAAATAGCAAAATAAATAATAAATAGACCAAGGTGAGTAAATATTGACATTGCAGGTAAATTATAAGGCAGTGACTTTATTTTCATTGAGTTCCAATTCTCAGACCAAGACCATGTAGATTCTGACATGCTTGTACCATGAGAAGAGTTTATCCATGTCTTGACCTTAATTACTTCAGCATAGAAAAAATAAATAGTAAAATAAATTGCAGAAATGTAAAGGTACATAAAATGTTGCGATTAATTTAATGATAAGATTAGAAGTGTTCAGAATACATTTTTAGGTAAATCTAAAAAATATGCATTTGAAACATAATTACTCCTTTCACTTAGAGTTTCAATGAGAACATTCCTCGGGACCTACAGTTGTGCATTATCTGTGCTTTGTTATTTACATGGACACAAAAAATACATCTGCAACAAACTGTATATTATCTTCTCTTCGGCATTTAATGTTCTTAGCTATTGCAGACAAAAGGAATCATTTCACTTAACAGCTGTGGATCTACCTGGAGCAAAGAAACAGAGGGCATCCTCTGTTTTAGGGATGTATAAAATTTCTTTACCAAAAGTCTACTATATTGTACTACCTTCTGTAAGGAACTATCTGGAGAACAGCTTTGAGCTTCATCAAAACATGAAAAATACCTGTGCTCAGTGTTTAGTTTTTGTGTCCTTTCTCCTACGCAATTATAGTAGTTCTTTTTAATTCCCAATAACTTAATTCTAATTTAAATACATGTTCGTAAGGATGCTGAAATATGGAGAGTAATTCTATGCAGAGATATTCATTGCAGCATTACTTATAATAGCAAAATTTAGAAATAAATGTCCTACAATAGTAAAAAGATTAAATAAAAATGTTCTTTATGTAATGTGATATTATATAGTCAACAAAAATTTTCAAAGGATGTGGAAAACGTTTTTGGAAGGTGAAAAAACTCAGTATTTTTTTTTAATTTAAATTACTTTGTTATTCCTTTTCCAGATAGCCTAGTTTGTTTGTTGTAACTTTTTAAAATTTTTTTTAAATTTTATTTTAATTTATTTTTTCAAATACATTTGTCTCTGCCTACCCCCCACCACTTTCCTTTGCCCCCTCCCTCCTTCCCTCCCTCAGCTCTTCCCTTTGGTTTTGTCCATGAAATCTCAGTATTTAAAATTTAATAGACTGTCTTAATTAAGTTGTTTAAAAACATATGGTTGCACTTGTGTTTAAAATATTCAGTTACTAAGAAATAAATATATGAAAGTGTAATAAACAAGTCAACAATTTTATTTTTTGCCTATTTTACATATCTAAAAATATATTACATTTGTAATTATAAAAATGTTATCATAAAAGCTTTAATTCTAATGAACTAAAATGCAAAATAATATATAAGAAAAAAGGTAGGATAAAGACCAGAAACAACTTTTCTCTGCACTTCTGCTTGTACCTAGTAGTGGATAAACTGGAGTGTTATTGGAAAATCCCTGAGAATTGCCCTGACAGAGTGGCACAGTTGGTTGGAGCATTGTCCTATAAACCAAAAGTCCATGGGTTTAATTCCTGGTCAGAGCACATGTGTGGGTTGCAGGTTTGGTCCCTGGTCGGGTGCATGTGATGTGTCTCTCTTGCATTGATGTTCATCTCCTTCTCTCTTTCCTTCCCTTCCCTCTTTCTAAAATCAGCAAGTATGACCTTGGGTGAGGGTTAAAAAAAATTCCTGAGAATCTCTTTCATATATGCTGAATAGACTAATCTACATAGCTCCAGAACGTGTGTGTGAACAAGACGTAAACTTGTGACCTTTGAATAAAAGTTAAACACTGAATATAGGAAAGAAATAAATTATTCTGCAAAAATACTACTAATCAGCTAGATAGGTAGATAGGCGGGATATATGAAATGATACAAAGACATGTGATAACCAGCCAGAGAAACAATTAGACAAGATGATAGAGTGATCTTGACTTTAAGTGTTTTTAAACTTTTAAACAAGGAAGTAAGGGTAATTCACCAAATCACCCAGGAAGGGTTAAATTATAACTAATTAAGGCAAAAGAGGAGAAGAAAAAGTCAGTGGGGGAAGTGGGGAGAGATATGAAGGGGGAGAAGAGGAAGAAAAGAGGAAGAGGAAGAAATTTCCCCAATTTACAGCTGATAAATCAGAAATTTACGAAGCATTATAAATGATTGAAGAGCTTATGCCAGAGCCAATGTTTGAATCCACATCTATTTGCTTTCAGATTTGTTTTATTTTAAATCACTAAACTTAAGAGTGTTTGGAGTGCTTTTTGTTTTTTTCAGCACAGAATACTGCAGATTGCATAGTTTCAAAGAAAAAATAATTCATGGCAAAACTATGTCTTCAGTACTGTATTGAATCGAATAGTGCTTAGAGTTTTTTCAAAGACCAACATTAGTTATTTAAAATTATCTATACTGATGAAAGGCAAGTCATCTAGTAGTTTTACCATGACAGGAAATTGATTTTTGTTAAGTATTTCCTATATGCCTACTACTGTGTCCTGTTCTTTACATGCATAATTCTAATACAGTGCCATTTTACTTAGATCTAGATTCAATTCTTTTTAATTAAATTTATTGGATGACACTGGTTAATAAAATGTATATTGCATTGTGTGCCCACCACCCAAAGTCAAATCCTCTTCTGTCCTCATAAATATGAATCCCTTTACCCTTTAGGACCCCCTATCCCCTTCTTTCTGGTAACCAACATACTGTTGTCTGTGTCTGAATTTTTGTTTGTTTGTTTTTCTTGTTTGTTCATTTATTGCTTTCAGTTTTATATCCCACATATGAGTGAAATCATAGGGTCTTGATTTTTTCTGTCTGACTTACTTCACTTAGCATGATTGGATAAAGATGAGATAGATATATCAAGGTCATAGTACTGAGTCATAAAATGAAATACTGCTATTTGCAACAACATTGGGTGGATTGTGAGAAGCTCATGCATACTCATCTAATTATTGTCATTTTGCACATTTGCAAACTAAGTTTTGATAGATGTATACTCTGCCTAAAGACTTGAAGTTAGTTTTCTCTGCACCATAATCTCTTCTACATGACATTCATTGAAAACACCATTTTCTTTGTTCTCACTGAGTAATAGCCTTAAGTATTCTTTGTTCTTATGGATGAACTCAATGATAATCTCTGACACATACAGAGTTTTATCTGCCATACACTATTCCTGGTCCTTTACCTATATTTACTCTTTTAATAATCACACAATTCCATGAGGTGGATTCTACTGTTATGCCCATTTAGCAAAGAAGAAAACTGAGGCACAGAGAGGTTAATAGATTGCCCAATTAATAAATGGTAGAGCTGGTATTCAAACTGACATTATCTGGCTACTCTTACCTACCTCTATAGTCTAGGAACAGTATCAGTCTTCTTGCCAGTTTTATTTTATATAGTAAACAGTAAATTGCCACTGTGATATGTCAATTTTTTTAATTGACACTCTTATCTGTAAATCATAAGATTAGTGTGGATTTTCCTTAAATACCAACACCATTATATAACATCTGATAAAACTGAACTTGTAAATTAATTATTAGATTCTTAACCAAAAACCAATGTTACGATCACCAAGGAAAACATACAGTCTCTCTCAAGGGACTCTTTCAAAGCTATACTAGAAGAGTTTAGAATTCTGTTACGAAAAAAATATTCAAATCAGTAAAAAATCCAAAGCTGAACTCTGAAGTTGCTTGTGATATCTTTACCCTTTATTTCTAGAATTGGTGAGAATCTTGGTCACACTTAAAGATTGTAGTCAGATTTATAACTGAAGCAATAAAACTATACTAATTGGTCAATTCCATAATGCAAAATATATTAAAGCCTTTTTCCTATTGACATTTGGAAAGCTTTTCTGATTGGTTTTGACTACCTCGGAGCAGAATCAGAAGAATTAGTCATTCCCACTCTAAGAATGCTCCTCTAATGGATAGAGAGAGAGAGAGAGAGAGAGAGAGATGGTAATATACAATGAGCTATTACTCAGTCATAAAAAAAGAATAAAATATTGCCCCAGCTGGTGTGGCTCAATGGATTGAGCTCTGGTCTGCAAACCCAAAGGGTTTGATATCCGGTCAGGGTACATGGCTGGGTTGCAGGCCAGGTCCCTGGTTGGAGGTGTGCAAGAGGCAACAGATTGATGTATCTCTTGCACATGGATGGGATGTTTATCTTCCTCTCTTTCTCCCTCCCTTCCCCTCTTTCTGAAAATACATAAATTAAAAAAAAATGAATAAAATATTGCCATGTGCAACAGCATGGATGGTCCTAGAAGGTATTAGGCTAAGTGAAATAAGACCAGCAAAGATAAATATCATATGATTTCACTTGTATATGGAATCTAAAAAAAAAAAAAAGCAACCTTCCCAAAAAATAAAAAATAAAAAACAAACCTAAAATAAACTCATAGATACAAAAAACAAATGGAGGGTTGGAGGTTGGAGGAGAGTTGGAGAGATGGATTAAAAAAAGGGAAGGGACTAGATGTACAAATTGCCAGTTATAAAAAGTCACAGGGATGTAAAATACAGCACAGTGAATATAGTAAAAAATATTGTAATAACTACATATGATGTCACATGGGTACATGACTTGGGGGGCTGATCACTTTGTAACTTGTATACATGTCTAATTATTATGTTGTACACCTGAAAGTAATATAATATTGTATGTCAATTATAATTTTAAAAATAAGTAATTATTTTTTAAAATTCTCCTAGTATTTGCTGAACCTCCTTTATTAAAGTCAAATAATCTTTTCCTACATTTTATATTTTTACATAAAGTTTATAAAAAGTTTGGACCCTAGATTAGTAAAACGTTCTTGCCCTTGGCTTTTTAAAAAATAAAATTTGCATAAAGTAACTTTTAAAGGAACTCTGCTAGGGATTTCCTTAGACAAATCAAGTGATAGAATATCATAACACAGTTTGGTTACTTCTGTTTATTAAGCTAGGAGATGTTGACCAGGATATCTGGTTTGCTTTTTAATGCGTGGACTATTTTTTTTTCTAAATTTAAGTTTTATATTCACTGAGACACTCACTATAGGCAAGCAGATGGCATGTCAGCGTAAGTGGTTTTCTCATGCTAAAAGAGCTTTCACTCTTCTGGTAGGATGCTTGGTACCAATACAGTGTACATCATTGAGGAATGAGAAGAAAAGTAAAAAAACATTTATTACCTTTCAGTTTGAATTTTAAGAGTGAATTAAAAAAACGAATACTTTAAAGACCTTTCTCCCAAAGCTCCGCTATTTTTTGCCTATATTGGGATAAAAATTTTATTTAAAAAACATTTGAAATGACTTCTGCAATTACAGACAACAGTTTAATTTTTGCTAAGCTGGCAAAGTTTGTTAACAAAACATATTAAGGGTCATTGTGAATTGGCTAGAATAGAAACAACTAGTTTTCTATTCTATCACTAGAATTTCAAGCAAGTAGTGATAGCAAAAACAGTGTCCTCAACTTTTTCCTATCCAAGACTCACTTCTCCGCCTGTACACCAGGCCAGACTCTGTCTGAATGCACCTTCCTCGGGGTCACAGGTCATCAACGAGCCCATCTGTTTCTGCACGTTTAATATCTTCTTTTCCTCTCTTTGAACCCATCAACATAAAATCTCTCAAAACAATAAGACTTCTTCAAACCTGTAATCTCATCTCTGTATATTCTTGTTCATGAATATTCTTTCTAAACAATTTTCAATGATTCCCTTTTGGTGTTCTCAGTTTTTGTTCTTGGGCACTTTTTCACTCTTACCCTCTTCTTAGATAAATATACACTGTCCTGGCTTCATATATAACTTACAAGTTAAAAATTATTAAATCTCTGTTATCCAGCTCTTCAGAAGATCCATATACTAATTGCATTTGTCCATTTCATTGTTTTATCAACATTTTACACTCAACACATAGAATGCTCAACTATCTCATACTTCATCTTGCCTACTATAAAACCATTTATCCACTCATTTACTATCTCCATAAAGAGAGCTTTCTCCCTCTCCACCGTCTGTTAAACTTGATTAGTAATTTGAGATGATCCTCCATATGGAAATCTCAGTATACTTTCAGTGTTTTTCTTCTTTTCTATGCCTATCTTTGCTGCTCTTTAGCAGACTGAAGTTTCTAAAACATAAGAGAAGGGTATCTAGAGAAGGTATTTTATGCTGTTTAATGTGCTGTTTTATTTTATTACGTCAGAGATAAAGGACAACACAGACTCATATGATCTATACTGGACACATTGAATTGTGATAGTTTTATTTAGGAAACTATGGTTTGACATTTTTTAATACATAGATGTTGCTTTACCAGAAATTACATGCTGTTCAAATTTTGTCAAATCTCCCCAGTAAGACTAAAATTATCTTGAGTTTAAGAATTGTTTCCAATTCATTTTTAGTTTTAACTGGGAGTGAACATAATATGAAAAACCAATGGCATATTTGGGTTTCATTCATTTATCCATATATTAGGATAGAGTTTGTTTTTACCTCTAAATACTAAAAATTAATAAAATGTTTACAATGTTTAAAGTGGCAAGACATTGAATATATATATATATATTCAAGAATGTTTAAAATTATTTGTTTTTATTTCTTATGTTTCTCCTTGCGTATATCCACAAATACACTATCTAATAAAAGAAAGTTCTTCAACTTCTAAAAAACAGAGGATAAAAAAGAGTAAGTAATAAGAACTTTCCCAATAAAAGCACATAATTGCAAAGTCAAAAAAGAGCTTTTTTCTCCAAAGAGAGATATGCATTACAAAGTTGAATAATACCAAACCTGCCAATTAATGCTATATCTCAGTTTGAAATATTAATTAAATATCTCAATATATTCACTAAAAAACTGACAGATTTTTAAATAAAATTTAGATAAAAGGTAACCCTAAAAATGTAGCTGCAGCTTAGAAAACTGAAATACAGATGAGAAAAATGAAGGAAAAGGATCAAATACATAGACTATCAGTCTTTGTAAAGATTATATACTCTACATTTTATACCTTCACTTTAATATTCTAATGATTGCTATTTGTTTTGCAATTTTACGTAGAATGCCAGAATATATTGTTGACTCAGAAAACGAAACATAATAGAATTTTGAAACATACTACTACTTCTTGAAGAGAAAAAATAAGAAATCTAGGGTTAAAAAAAATTCTATCATTGGGTATAACAGCCAATAGAGTATATTTGAAACTTAAAAAGCTGATATTTAAAATAACATGAATATATGTGAAGTTCAAAAATCTTAGAAATAAGCAAGTCTTAAGTAATAATAACAATGCCCTAAGAAATAATTACACTTCCTCAGAATGAATTGTTCACTACTTCTGTATTAATTATTGAATAAAATTTTTTAAAAATCAATAATAAAAAATCCAATACAGTAAAAATCCAACTTCCAAAAATTAACATTGAAATGGCAGAAAACAATTAATATAGACTTTCACCACAGGCATTAGTAGAAAGTTCACCTGGTTGGCAATCTGCCGAGCAAGTACATCCATCCTTGATCCTGATTCTGATATCATTTTAGCTGCGTAGATCACATCAGTGGTGTGCTTTAGTGGTCCTTTGCCCCTTAACATAAAAGAGTGCATATTAGTTGCAGTGGTTCATGCTAAGATACACACACACCCCCTACACAAACACACACAAGATTTGCACCCCAAAGTACTGGCCATTAGTTTTACCTGCTTCAGTTTTAGACAGCCTAAATTAGACTTTGGTATTAAAAAAGAAAAATAAAATGAAACTCTGTTGTGTTAAGATTCCGGAAATACTGCCCAGGAGATGAAATACATTTGATCTTCATTCCCACGTATTTCTTATAATAAAACTCAGGCTAGAAATACTTTTGGAAAATGTCAATAATTCAAGGCAAAAGTATTTTTCTAATTCTAGGAAGATATATGAGATTTAAAATTTTATATATGTTAAACAGCACATTATGATTAGCAAGGGTTACTTTTAATCTCTGCTCCTTTTAATAATTTTTTACAGTCTTTTGGTTAATTGCATTTTTAATCACATTATTTTTCTTCCGCAATTAATTCATAGCAATATAGTCATTGAATATGAATGTGGAGTCACACTATCTTGTGCTGTTTCCCCCAAACAGACCCCCTCTTATTATTTGTGTAAGTAAATCAAGATAAATACCCACTTTGTTTCCTTTGTGGCAATAGAAACACCCACTACATAGAATCATTCTAAGGATTACATGCATTTATTTCTGCAAAGCGCTCATAACATTACTTCAAGGTAAGCAATCAATAATACAAGTTATTTTTATTGTGGTTGTTACTTAAAATAATCTTGATTTCAAATGCCATGAAATAAAAGTTGTGTTTATTTAAGGATTTTTTAAGTAGGTAAGAAGAAAAAAGTGCACTGCTTACATTTTTGTAGAGGGATATGATAAGGAGATATTTTCCTGATTTCTCTTTCCTCAAAAATAAATGAACAATTGTCCAAATGGATGTAACTGACCGACCTAACTAAAAGTACTCCTCTCCTTATTCCATATGTCCAATTCCTAATCCTCTACTGAGTGTCAAGTACTGATTCTTCCAATTACTTTGGTTCTGTTCTTTGTTTTTAGCAGAGAATAGGACCCTGAAGGAACTGCTTACTAACAAATTGTTCTATTTTCTGGGTTATCCTGATTTTTTTCCATTTTTTGAATTTATTGGGGTGACAGTGATTAATAAAATTATATACATTTCAAGTGTATAATTTTACAATACATCATCTATATATAGTAACATAATTATTTTGATATTCTGATGGGAGTGGGGAGAGTGAGGGAGATTGGAAGGAGAGGAAAACTCGTCAGGGTGAGAAAATGATTTTGAGATGCTAAAACAGAGTAGAGTTAGAAGAGAAAGAGAATGAAACAATGATTGTCCATGTCTTATTTATACATTGGACTGGTCCTGAGGACAGATGCCCTGATGTTAAATCTAAGGACTTGTTATTAGAGGAAATTCTCTGCTCACTAAGGAGAATATGCCTATGAAGTAATGAAAGAGAGAGAGCATTCATGTAAAAATAAATGATCAGAGTATTCTGTGCCTGAAAACTGAATACCAAGACACGTGTGCCAAATAGGCCCTTTCATTCCACTTTTTTCATGGCGCCTCTCAAATTCATTATAAGCAAATTTTCCTGTAAAAATTGAACATCAGGTCTAACAATGAAAACCTGGACCCTGAAGATATGGTTATCATCATACTTCTTTTTAAATCTGCTGATACGTTGCTTTGTAATTAAAAAGAAAATCAACATTAATCACTACAATATTTGAGTTGCTCTTATCAAATTTACTTTATGCATCAGCAGGACTAGATGTTATGTACATGGTTATGTTCAAGAAAGGCATTGCATTTCATTATTTCTATGCACCTCCAGAGAAAGTTAAACTTAAATAAAGCTGTCCAAGCTCCCCAAAGGGCAATGTATCAATTTTCAAGGTCTAAAACAATAAACAAAGGTTGTTTCTAAGGAGAGCAGCTAACACTCTCATAGTTTAAACAATGAACAAAAAGTTATATCTAAGGAATACAGTTAATGTACCTTTCTGTTCAAAATAATATATTTCCTCATATAAAATTCCTGGGACAATGAAAGGGAAATTACCTCTAGCTTTAAATACACACCTTGTTATGAGACCACTGTCTTAAACACATGGAGAACTTAAAAGTAACAATAATACATTATGACAGGTTGCAATTATTCTCTTCCTCATGTTCCTAATTAAATGTATTGCCTGGCAAGCTTCCTACTGAGTGCCAAACAAAATACACATTTTACAAATGATTCTATATTATGCTAAGCTTCCAGAGGAAGCCGCAATTACTGGAACTATGATAAATTTTTTAACATTCTCAGCCTGAAATGTGCTATGTAATGAAGGCTTTTAAAATTGGGATATATATTTAAAGGTTGTTTGTTGCCTTCATTTTCATAATGGGTTCTCAGGATCTCCTGTCAGCAAATTGTGCCTTAAATCATTGGGTTTGGATCCTACAGAGAAAGATACTCAGAAGAGGAGGGGTAGACTTTGGAAATACTTAAAAAAAAAAAAAAGCTAGAAATCTTTAATAAATAGTGCTTGCAATAATACCCTATCCATTCCCCTCTCAAAAAAAGGTCAGATCAAGCTCTGGACTCCAGTCTGCCAATTAGTCATTAAATTATAGGTTAGAAGGTGTAATGGGAAAGACTGCAATAACCCAGGGATGTTGATGCCGTCACCAATTTTATTAGCGCAGTGAAAGCAGTACCTTTGAAACTTCCTTTGTGCAACATAAAGCTTTGAGTTATTTTTTGACACTGCTTCAACCTTGACTCTTATTCCTCTCCCTGTCCTCACCCCGTTTCTGGCATTCACCCCTCTCTTCTTTCTCTCAATCAGCACAAGCATTGTACTAAGATGATACAGCTGATCATTAACAGCTCAACAACTAGAAATCTGTTTTAATAATAGGAAATATCAAATAGTTTCTGCTTCCAATAAAACACACAAAGATAAAATTATATAATAAAAAAAAAGGTCTTAAGATATTGATAGATTAGCATGACTGCAGCAGAGAACAAAGATGAGGGTTAGATTCAGGTGCTAGTTAGTTAGGAGGTCCAACACTAGTGACCTGATTAAACACAATAGCTTCAAGGAACACCACCTAAATCTGTGTCCCAGTCCAAAAAAATAAATATGCTACATTCATAAACTTTTAGAGGCATGGCAAATGGTTGAAATAACACCAGTAGTCTGCAGTCCGGGAATGTTTTTCTAAAGATGTTATTACTCTTTGTGATGATTTATCCTGGTACCTTTCCCCCCACCTCTCCCTTCCTCCCTTGATTCTAATCATTAAACTCCAACTCAGCCATTGCAAACACAATACCAGATGAGAAATTGTACTTTGATATTTATTTATAATATAACAGATAGAACTTTTATCTAGAATCTTAGTGTTAGACATTTATTTCATTTAATTCTAACACTCAAATTTAGTGCTGCAATAAAGTAGAGTGAAATAAATTTAGACTTGGAAAATACATTTTGTCTTCATCTCAGCCCTGACACTTGTCAGCCATGTACAATAGCCTTGGGTAATGGCTTGCAGGGTCTGAGCTTATTAACTCGTCATTAAAGTAATGATTATGACACTTGCCCCATGGTAAAGCTACATAAAATCATATGTTTTACACAGTGTTTGGCACATATTAGTTGCTCAGCAGGTGTTAATTTTTTCTTTCTCTTTCCCTTTACAAGTAATGATATTATGTAAAAGATGGCCTCTTACATTTTTATTTAATAATTATAGTACTTCCCAGACAATATGAACTGTCTTGATTATATTGAGTTACTTTTTATACCTCAATATACTTTCACAAAGAAAAAAATATATAAAATAGATACACCTATAAACAGTGTGTGTAGTCATTTTTGTAGTTTAAGATTGTTCTTTGATTCCTTATAAGGAGTTGATTTGCATTTAATGGATGGATTTTTTGGTAGTATGAACTTCCCAAGATTAATAATTTAGCTCTACAATTCTGTTACTTGTAATTTTGACATTAGATACAAAAGAAAAAACGAATTATCTCATGGAAGCGAATGAAAATGATGATATAAAGGGAAGTACTAGACTGAAGCAAAGACACACTGTTCCTCTAACTATTCAAGCCCAAAACTTTAATTAGGCAACTCTCTCTCGCTGGATGTCACCTATTCTTTTAAAGTGTCATCCTCAAGTTTTGAGGACCTTAACAAAATTCCTTAGAAAATCGGCTAGTGAATAGTCAGCTAGCAATTATTCTGAGTAACTAATATCCTGAAGAAAGTTTGGAATTCAGGCCTGAAAAAAAAAAAAATGTTGTCCCATGAAAGAGGAAGCATGGGCTGAACATCGTGTGTGTGTGGTTTTATATGTATATATGTACATACACACACATACTCGTTTCTGCTCTTTTTATTTCATATTATTGAGAGTAGCCTAACAACATTAAAATATCTTAGTCCTTAGCCCAATTATGTTTGTTCCTCTTCTACATCACAATCAAGGTGTACTGTGGAGTGATAGGTTATATACCATATAGCGTATAAAAACCCAGACCCCTTCTAGGTACAAGATAACCTGTCCCTAAGGCAACACAGCCTTTGATGGATCCATTTCATTCAGACATCTGACAAAGGAAAAGAGTGAGGATATTAGAGGAGATTTTAGGGATCAGAATAATAATTAGAAAATGTCACTGCCACCAATATTTCAGAATCCAGACTCATTTAACTGCAAAGAAGGCTGGGGAATCTATTTTATTTGGGCACAGGCAGGGAAAAAACAGGGTTTCATGAACTTAACAGCATTTCTCCTGCACATACTACCAGTGGTGCTATAATCCTGTATTTTCTTTTTTCATTTTAGCAACAAAATTTGTGTTCCCTTTGAAGGGAACTCTGGGTGTCACCAAGTAGGTGGGAAAATTGGGGAAAGTACCAAGCCCCTTTACCAACACAGCTAAAATTGTAAGTCCTATACTCTGCCTGGGCAGGAGACTAATTCTATTTT